GGGGGCAGGGGGGCAGGGGGGCTGTATCCATCCCCTCCTCCAAACGGAAATTTTGGGGGGCTTTGTCCCCTAAGCACGTTTCTTGTGGCCGTACCAAGCAGCGACTACTTCAGCGAGCATTTAGAAGAGTTGCAAATGGTCTTGCTTTGGAACTGATATAGACCGTGGCCGGCTAGGCCACCAGCTTCACATGATGCAGTGAAAACTGCACTACCCGAATTAAGCACGTCAGGTCGCAAATATTAGAACCATTTGCGAAGCTCTCAACAAAACGTCTGTCACCAAATCGCTCTTAGGAGAAGTCCATAAACAAACAGCGCAAGACATTTTGGAAAATACGAGCAGAGGTATGCGCCTGGCTTAACGATGAGCCCCCCACCCCCACCCAATCCCTCCATGCTTCAAAACGCTCCGCCGGACCGAAAAAAACTGTTATAAAACTCATTTAAAAATTGGCTGGGAACATTACCGGGGTATTAAAGAGCAACCCCAAAGGGTGGCAGTTAAAAACAGGTTCCAAAGTAATGTGTCTTTTCTCTTGTGTTTTCGATCAGGTTATGTTCAGTTAAAAAATTAAACGGACTGTTTTTGTGTGGGATACCTGCGGGATGAGTGATGACAATAATGAAGGATACGTGTGGTATCCCACACTATTGTCATCGGCTCGTGTCCGTTAATGGGCTGGAGTATCCCTTTGGGTGCCTATTTTTAAGAGGCTCCGTCAGAATCAACAGCTAACTTACAGAGTTTTGAAATTTTGAAATTTCTTTTTGGCTGTTTCTGTTTTAGTTTTAGTTTTTGTTTTTGTCGTTGAAAGGTTGCAATGCTGGTGTCTTCTGATACGCCAGCAAAAGCCAATGAGAAAATCCCACACAAGACTTTTCAAGTTCCCTACAAACCTGGTTTTGTTGAAGACTTGCTGATAAGACCTGCACTTGATGGGAACAAGTACTCTGTTGGTTGGAACTTCCATAAAGTTCAACTGGTCATGTGTGAATGTCTACTGAACAGCAGCGCGCTCCTGCAAGAGTTGAAGAATTTTGATTTGCTTGTGATAGACTCCCTTGCATCATGTGGTGTGTTACTCAGCGAGGTCCTTGATATTCCGAATGTGATGATAGTGACTGGATCGCCCAATGATATATTGACAGCATATCGCAAAGCTCCCTTGCCATTGTCTTATATTCCGTTGCGTGGGTCAGGATTTCCAAGTAACATGACCTTCATTCAGCGTGTTCGAACCTTGGTTGATTATTGTTTCGTCAGACTGGTAATGGACCTTGTGTACATTCGAACAATGGACGAAATTAAAGTCAGATTCAATATCAATCCCGAAAGAAGCTACAGTGAAAGTTATTCAGACTCAGCGCTAGTGATTTACGTGGCAGATTTTGCGCTGGAGTTTCCGCAACCACTTCTACCAGGTTGGTCAATCTCATATATTTGGGGAGCAGGGATGGCGCAGAGGTGAGAGCGCTCGCCTCCTCCCAATGTGGATCGGGTTTGTTGCCGATCCTATGCCATATGTGGGTTGATTTTGTGTTGGTGTTCGCCTTGCTCCCAGGGTTTTTCTTCGGGGTCTCCGGTTTTCCTCCCTCCACAAAAACCACCAACAAATTCCAATTCGACCAGGATAGAGTACCCGCATGAAAACCAGCTGCTAAGGTCGCTAAGGCTGATGGGGCTTCCTCTTTTAATATAGTAATCTATAGAAATGCTATACATTGTAATGGCATGCCATGAATTCTTTATCAACCAATCACATGGCAAGAAGGCCAGAGTATAACTGATTGAATGGTGTGATTGATATCTTGGCACTTTTCTGCCGTTATGACGCCACTCCAGAAGCTATGTTATTTTAGAATTAGAACACATGTATCGTGTTTCTGTTGAGTTATGGAAACACGAGGAATGCTGAGGGAACACGAACCGACAGGCGAGTGTTTCCACAACCTTTTCCATTTCCCAGTAACTTTCACGCGATAGAAATCTGAAGCTCATAATTTCATTGTTTAACAGGTTGTTCCGTTAAAGACATTTTTACATGCTAGTGCTGAACAGTTTTTGTTTATGTAAGGTTTCAGGATTTTTCACTAGTTTTGAAGGTAGACTGCTGTTATGTGGGATTTATGGTACTAAAAAAATCGTTTGTCTAATGATCGCCAAAATACGTTTCAGGTCATATAATGGTTGGTCCAGTAACAGTCCAGAGGCCTTCACAGCTCCCCCCTGATTTTGAGTCCTTTGTAAATAATTCAGGAGGGTATGGGTTTGTAATGGTTTCTTTTGGATCGTACGTGGAAGCCGTCCTTGGTAAAGAAAAGATAACGCTGCTGGCCACCGCGTTTGGAAAGTTAAAGCAAAGAGTTCTATGGAAGCTTAAGAAAGGTGATAGTGCTGCAATTCATCTTTGATTGCTAAGTATTGATTAATTGACTAAAAGACTGACTGACTGACTGACTGACTGACTGACTGACTGTATCGTACTTTAGGTTAACAGTTTTATTAAATAATCCAAGTACTACGTACGTACGAACGAACGAAAGAACGAGCGACCGATGGAACGAACGAAAGGACGACCGAATGAACGAACCAACGAACGACCGAACGAAGCCAGGGTGACGATGGACTGAACGAAAGAACGACCGATTGAACGAACGAACGAACGAAGAACGAACGACCGACCGAAACCGAATAAACGGACGAACGAATGCAACCACCTTTACGGAGAACTGTAGTCTTAAGAAGTCATTTTGATTTGAGATAGAGAGGCATTATATATGTTATTAAATCCGATTAAGAACAGTAACTTCCATGTTGCCCTGGCGTTTGTTCAGTAATGGATGACGTCAAAAAGTGGTAACAACAAAAAAGTGGCACTCGAGTTGTAAGGCGAGCGTGTCATGATGATGTTAATGACATCATCTATGCGTCTGTCCTCCAATAGAACACGAGCAAGAACCAGTTAAAACGCAAGAATATATTTGACTGATAACAAAAAAGGGACCTGAAATTGTACTTTATGCAGTAATATGCTATTTCTAGACTACGTCCCACCTTCTCTCAAGCCGAACATCAAAGCATTGAACTGGTTGCCTCAGAATGATCTATTGGCGCATAAAGATATCAAAGCTTTTGTCTCCCATGTGGGACACAACAGTTTTTATGAGTCAGCCTACTATGGTGTCCCTGTGGTGGCGGTTCCCTTATTTTCGGACCAGTTTGTTTACGCCAAGAAAGCAGAACGGTTTGGACTGGGAATAGCTGTGGATCATAAAACTACGGATGCTGAACAACTATCTGAGACAATTGAGCGTGTCGTCAATGA